AACTGAATAATATTCAGTGTCCGTCACAATTGACTGTATTTTTATGAAAACAGAAGCTGACACAGTGATGATGATGATGATGACGGTGGCTGATGAAGCAGCTGCTGAAGCCACCAACGAACCCAAAAGCATCTGTCTGGAGGGCTCTGAGGAGGAACCTCTGGAGAAACATCTGGCTAAGTAAAGAAAATGAACAGATACTGAGATGATAATAACACATTTAGTCAATATTAAAGATTAATTTGAGCTCTAATCTGTCTGAATTCACTCAAGATCATCCAGTGAGCACCAAGGATGAGGCAGCTAAAGCCATCAGAGAGCACCTGGAGGTCCTGTTTGCTGATGCTCTGTTGGCGAGTGTCCAGCCTCTGGGTGAGTAAAGGAAATAAAAATATTACAATGAAAATGAAAGAGCTGGAAAACTGACCATATTTATTCGTATTAAAACAGAAAATGAGATGATGGTGATGACGGCTGATGAAGCGGATGCTGAAGCCATCAAAGCACTCATGGACATCAACCTGAACAAGACTGAGGAGGAACATCTGGAGAAACATCTGGGTAAGTAAAGACATGAACTAATGGCATAAAGAAAATACATGTAATTAATGTTAAACTAGGAATTCTAATTAGTTTTAATTAATTTATTTAAGATAATCTACTGAGCAACACTGACGACCAGTGAGCTCCTGGAGATCCAGCTGGAGGGAGATGGATCAGCGAGTGTCCAGCCTCTGAGTGAGTAAATGAGATAAATCTCAGACTCTAGAGTCAGAACACAACGGAACATCTGTTCACACCATAAATAATGGCACGGACGTACGGTTCTAGGAAAAGGCCTCGATTTGTATAGAACTGTTACGTGATATGGAAATGCTTTGGTCATTAAAAAGGCTCTTTACACTGAAGAGCTGTCCACTGAAAGGTCCTCAATGGAACTAGAAATGGTTCTTCTATGGAAAGAACTTTTACTCCTTTTTCAATACATTAAAAAAACAAAACGTAATTTGAATTCGTCTCGTTGCGGAGAAAGATGTGATCTGCGGAACAGAAGCTGAAGCTCAGCCTGAAGCCACTAAAAACCTGGATGATACTCAAACCACAGAGAACCAACTTCTGAGTGAGTGATAGAAAGAACTGTAGAATATTATGATGATAGCTAGAACAGTTCTGGTGTGGCTCAGGTTTTGATGGATACTTGACAGGGTACTTTGGGTGGTTATGAGGTGGTTGCTAATTTGTTTTTAGGTAGTTTTATGATATTGTAGCATGTTCTAGAAATGTTCTTTCTGGGTTATTGTTCTCCTACAGTTATTCTCTGGGTTCTGACAGAGACTTTTAATGTGAAGGTGGGGCTGGTTCAGCTTTGGGGGTCTGTGTGTCAGATCAGACAGGAACTGGGTGTCAGTCGGAGTTGAGCGCTGATAGAGTGCAGATGTCAGCTGAATGTAGAGCTGGCTGTTAGCTAAAGCCTCGCCTATCGTACGGCGTACAAAGCACATCGGCTTGTGCATCAGCCATGTGTCCTTCAATAGCATTAAACAGTACAGTATTTTAAATGGTTGCTAGGGTGTTGCTAAGGGGGATGTTACAATTTTGTTTTCGTGTTTCTGTCTTTGCTATGGAGTGGCTAGGCCGTTGCTATGTTATCCCAGATGGTTGCTGAATGCTGTTTATCAGTTATTGTCATTCCAGGTTGTTGCTAGGGAATTACTGTGTAGTTGCTATGGAACCTCTGGTGGTTGCTAGGGAATTGTTATGGTGATTCCAAGGAAAATGAAAGCTCTTTAAAAGCACACCTCTCACAATCAGAGTGAAAATTATTGAGTTGATTGGTTTTGAGTCTCAAAAACTGCAAGATGAGTCACAATAAATGTAAAAATGACATTTAGATAAACTGATTTGAAATATGTTGTAATTTAAATGCTGGCTACCATTTCCGTGCTCCAGGACAGACTATCAGAGAAAAGCTGGGTTACTGATTTGTCTAATTTTGTTCTCTAGCTGAAGTGGATGTAAAGAAAAGTGACCCTCCTGAGGAAGAAGAGACCAAAAAGAGAAAAACCAGGAGAGGAACGAGAGGAAAAGGAAGAAAAATTAAAAACAACAAAAACAAAGATCCAAATAACTATACTTTTTAATCCAGAGCGTTTCTCCGTCAGAGCTCGGCGTCGTGTTGGGTCGTCTCTGCTGGCCTGTTTGAAGCCTGTTTGGGTAACATTAGCTACACTAGGTAGCTGATTAGCTTCTCATGTTGGGTTTTTGCTGCCATGATGGGCCCAAAAGCTGATTTGTAGTTCGATCAAAAATAGTCGACACTGATAAAAGTTTGCGTTTGTGCACCTGAGCACATACAAATGAACTTGCACTAAACGTTGATGCTAGTCTGAGTAGCGGTCCAGCTAAACATGCTGTAAGATTATATGCTGTATTGGCCAGCTGACATGAGTCCTAAACAGACTCAATCTATAAGTGTTTACATTCTCTTTGGCGACCAATGAGAATCGTTTTAGTCTGTAAATCTTTTACAGCTGTTAATTCAGTAGAGGAGCTAATGCTAAAGCTAACAATTTAACATTAGATGAGGGTCAGTCGTCGTCTACTCGAGCTCAGTGATGTTCTGCTCAGTGAATGATGAGGAACCGTGATGTTCTGCTCAGTGAATGATGAGGAACCGTGATGTTCTACTCAGTGAATGATGAGGAACCGTGTTGTTCTGCTCAGTGAATGGTGAGGAACCGTGATGTTCTGCTCAGTGAATGATGAGGAACCCTGATGTTCTGCTCAGTGAATGATGAGGAACCCTGATGTTCTACTCAGTGTATGCTGAGGAACCATGCTGTTCTGGTCAGTGAATGATGAGGAACCATGTTGTTCTGCTCAGTGCATGATGAGGAACCCTGATGTTCTGCTCAGTGAATGATGAGGAAACGTGTTGAGGAAACTCTGAGAACAGAGAAATCTCTCTTCTATCTTCAGCTAGCATGGTTAGCCTAGCTTTAGCCTAGCCATGCTAACCTACTTCAGACTGCTCTGTTGTGTCTGTTGCAGGTTCAGCCACTCGTGATTTGTAGTAACATCAGTAAAGTAAGATGATAAACAACAGTGCGAACTGAGAAGACACTGACAGTTTATTAGGTACACTGTCCTCTCATTAGCCATTTTATCGTACACTCTGACTGGGCTGCTAAGGCTGATCCCAGAGAAATGCAGACAATTTTAACACCTTTCACAAGTTGACTCTACAAGGATGTAAACTTTTTAGAGTGTCAACTATTTGTGTTACTCCAATCAATGTTAGCATTAGCAAGACGATATTAGCCCTGGTCCGGTGTGCAGCAGCTAACGTCATATTTAAAGTCGCTAACTCTGATTAGCATTGCTATCATGCAGTGTTCCTCAAATTACACAGCTTTTCTGCTTTTGATATTATCCAATATTCTATAAACAGTATGAAGCAATCAGCGTCCAGCTATCAGCAACCAATAATCAATACAGCAATAACTCTGGCCGCAGAGGCGGCTCTGTCTGCGGTAGCTGTGAGCTAAACATGCTAACTGTGTGACTGGGAGCAGAAGCTGGTTTCACTGAGAGATTTCACTGGGAGTGGCGTTGGAGCTGGGCAGTCAGTCCAGTTCACCATCACGATTAGATGATCCCCAAATCAGGTTATTGATGATATTTCAGTTTACATTAATGATTAATGATTAATGAGTCTGTGTGTCCTGAGAGCTGCTACTTTACTCTGATTGGTCAGTTTTTATTCCTTTTCTATTATTAAAATGACACTAAAGGAATCATATACAGTGTATTTCTATCACCATGACAACAGGGACTCTGCTACTTATGGAACAGAATATGTTCATTTAATGTCCAGCTAGTTTTCTATCAGCACTGCTGAAGCTGATAATGTAATGATTTAATACAGCAAATAAATATCAGTTTAAATATCAAAACAGTGTATAAAAATTAAAAAATGTCAAAGACTATCAGACTGATATGCCCCGCCCACCTTCATGGAAACCAGTCAGTGATCTAAACTAAGGGGCGGGGCTTCTGCTATGGACACACCCACTCTTAAATGACAGGTCTGTTATACTGAAGAGCGTATAGATTCTACAGGTTGTGATTTTTGGGGTTAATTTTGTTACTAAAGTGTGTTTTGTTACAAAACTGACCTGCTGGAATAAACAGTGACCTCAGCTCTGGGTCAGAGTGAGACGGTACGGACCGACAGATGGTCTGTGGGTCCCTCAGGCTGTACTGGACTCCACTGACCTGCACTGAGGTCACTGCTCAGTACAATCGGTGCACCATCACTGAATTAAATGTTGATGTGATGCACATTACCGCTGTTCACAGTGATCTGTATTTATTTATTTATGTATTTATTTGCACCCTAGCGCCCTCTGCTGGAGAACAGTGCAGAGAGATGCACTCTGGTGCCCTCTGCTGGAGACCAGTGCAGACAGCGGCACTCTGGTGCCCTCTGCTGGAGACTAGTGCAGACGGCGGCACGTGCATATAAGAACACAATAATACTTTGCATTGCATTAAAAATAATCTTTATTATTCACACCTTTCACACTGAACTGCAGCTCAAACGGCTTTACATAAAACACAAGGAGAAAACAGAAAGCTGAGAAAATAAAAGCATTGGATAAAAAAGGGGAGAAATAAAAAATGAACAATCCAAAATCCACAATAAAAGTCACAATGAAATAATAAAATGATGAGGAAACAAATTATAAAATAAATACAGTAAAATAAAGCAGAGCTAGAAACCATAACAGGACAAATATCACAAAGTAAAACTAGAGAGAAGCTACAATATGTTTCAAGCTGCTTCTAAACACATGATCTAAATACATGAAACATGATCACTGTGAAGCATAATCTCCTTATCAGGTATATGTAGAAAGAGCCTATTTACATACTGACACATCTGTATATATATATATATATATATATATATATATATATGAAGAAGATGAAGATGAAGAAGAGTCAGACATTTCCGCTCTTCAGCCTCAGCTGCCGGACTGCTGAAAAACAAAACGTCTCTAACGGGCCTGTGGTAGCCGTTAGAGACGAGCACAGTCAGAGGAAGATCATGAAGTGGGGGGGATGGTGGGCTGAGGGGGCTGAGGAGGCTGCGGCTGTGGTTTTTTAATGTGGAAGAGTTAATAGTTTCTCGATCAGGTTTAAAAACGTTCAACTTCAGCTGAAAAGCTCCACTCGTCATGTGTGCCTTTTTAACGAGGCAACCAATCAAAAAAGAGTAAAACTGACCTGAAGAGCGAATGTGGCCTGAACAGCAGGACAGATGAGTCATTCTATGGAAACGTCCAGTTTTGTGTCCCTAGTGTTTACAGATTTATTACGATATATGTGACCGACTTAATTCTGAGATAGTTCATTCTGAAAACCAGGGACCCTCCATTGACGCTCGGTTAAACAGTTCAGGTGGAAGCAGAGCCTGTTTATGAGGAGCCTAGCCACTTTCTATTTCCCCCATTATATCAAAAACAGAATGTATTTCACTAAAAAAACAAAGAAATCTCACCTGTATATTTCATTTTTTCTATAGCAAACGGGTTTTGGGCATCAGGACGCTAACATTACTGCTACTGAGAGTTGATTGGTTAACATTATTGCTACTGAGTGCTGATTGGTCAGCTAGTGGAGCAGCTCATTGGCTGTTTGCGCTCACAGACATTCGTCAGCGCCGTTTTAAACCCCTATAACTCGAGTTTAAAAGCTCTTAAAAATATCAGCAATGTTAAAATGTTTTATGCTGCAGCCCCCTCCACTCCCCCACCATCCCCGGGTTCAAGCCTTTTTACTCACGGCGATGACTGTTTTATGCAGTGCTGAGTGGTTGAACAGACTTTCAGATAGTGTACCTTTCTGTTCCTGAATGTAGGTTATGCTTTAAAATACAGGGCTCTGAGGTTTGAGGGGCCAAGATCTACTTCTGCTCCTAATGTTATCAATGCACCAATATGAATGATCAGTTGACTGATCCTAAGCCCCGCCTCATTTTCTCAGCTATCGTTCTTTAGCTTAGCTTAGGCTTTCAGTTCTTTAATGGTCAGCGTGGTGCAGGCGTGTACTGAGAGAGGGACAGTGGCCTACCTTTGCTTTGATAACACACACAATCACCGCCACCAGGAGCACAGCCGAAAGGACGCCAACGACCGCTATCCAACTAACACACGTCTCATCTGGAACAGCCGAAAAGATTCAGTTACATTTCAGCAGAGTCTTCAGTCAGAGACTTCAAGAGAGAAGAGAAAGAAAAGCGCTCTCACACTAATGCACTCTTATTTTGAAAAGCAAGCTCCTTCTGAGTGCTTCAACCCAGATAGCAAGCACATTTGGGCCTAATCTGTGCCACTTTTGGCACTTACGGCTCAGTTACAGCACGGCGAAGTGTCACGTAGGCCGGACGTGGGCCAAATATCACGAGCTGGAAGCTGAGGTTAAGTCCTCTGGCCCTGATTTGGCCCAGATTTGGCCCATGTACGGTGGACCTGTGGCTGAGTTCAGGCAGCCAGACTCACCCTGAGTCAACAGTGTACATCAGGGCCAAATGTGGGCCATCAGAGTTCTACAGATGTGGGCCAACTTTGGGCCAAAGATTCATTGCTATCTGGGAAGTAGTTCAAGGTTTTTAGTGGGAGCTTCCAGTAATTCATACATGGCTTGATCTTTTCCTCCTTTACGGTATCGTTCTGCTTCACTCTGCAGTAGAACACGTCACCCGACTTTACATCGGCGCTGCTTTCCACGTCGAACAGCTTATCGTCTCTTTCTTTCTTCGTAACTGTTGCGGTCAGGACAGTTTTGTTACTGTCCAGCCACTCAAGCTCAGGCGCAGGTAGCCAGCCTTTAGATTTACACTGTAAAGTCGCCACTGTGATCTCAGGGTGCGTCCCAATAGCTGTGGATTAAAAAGGGATAAAAACATGAGATAGTTCGGAGTTTCACATCCACCTTTTTAAGCAAATGTTGTAAAGGTGCATTAAGAACTTTTTTGAATAAAAAAGTGTTTATGGTGGGACGAGGTGGGACGACAGGAGACAGATCGAGTTGAGATTTTCTCAACTTTATACAAATAAACTATGGCACAGCGAAGCGACAAGTCAAGTCTAGAGGCTTTTATTGTCATTCCATCTATGTACAAGCACAGAGTGGAGTGACATTACATTCCTCCAGGACCAACACGGTGCAGCATGGAACAAAATAGACAGTACAAAGTGCAAACGTGCAGACGTAAGTGTGCAAACATTAAACTAGAAACAATACAATATGATAATTAAACCAGACATTAGACACAGTAAACAGACAGGGCAGTGCAGCTCATTTCTGAGCATGAGGAAGTGGAATAAGGTGCAAAGATTGTTTAACATGCTGTGATCTGTTAACGCAGTACTTGAGTAAACAGTTTAAACACAATATTAGCAGCAATGTTCCAGATAGTGCCAGTAGAGCATCAAAAGAGGAGTGTGTGTGTGAGAGAGTAGAGTATGTATGTGAGGGGGTATTCAGATCAGTCCTTGTGAATTTAAAAACCTGATCAGTTGAGGAACAAAGCTGTTGCAGAGTCTGGCAGGGATGGCACGGATGCTCCGGTACCTTCTGCCAGACGGCAGCAGTGAAAAAAGCCCGTGTGAGGGATGGATGGGGTCCACGATGCTGGTGGCTTTGCGGATGCAGCGTGTGGTGTAGATGTCCATGATGGAGAGGAGAGAGACCCCAATGATCCTCTCAGCTGTCCTCACTATGCGCTGTAGGGTCTTGCGGTTGGAGGCGGTGCAATTCCCAAACCAGGTGATGATGCAGCTGCTCAGGATGCTCTCCACAGTCCCCCTGTAGAACATGGTGAGGATGGGAGGGGGGAGATGGGCCTTCTTCAGTCTCTGCAGGAAGTAGAGGTGCTGCTGGGCTCTCTTGGCTGTGAAGTTGGTGTTGAGAAACCAGGTGAGGTTCTCTGTGATGTGGACACCAAGGAACATGGTGCTCCTGACGATTTCCACAGCAGAGCCAGTGATGGTCAGTGGGGCGTGGTCACCCCGCACTCTTTGGAAGACAACAACCATCTCCTTAGTTTTGTCCACATTCAGAGACAGGTTGTTGGTTCCGCACCAGTCCGTTAGCCGCTGCACCTCCTCTCTGTACGCTGACTCAACATTCTTGCTAATCAGACCCACCACAGTCGTGCCATCAGCAAACTTGATGATGTGGTTTGAGCTGTACTTTGCAGTACAGTCATGAGTCAGTAGAGTGAACAGCAGCTGACTGAGCACACATCCCTGAGGGGTGCCGGAGCTCAGTATGGTGGTGCTGGAGATATTGTTGCTGATCCTGACTAACTGAGGTCTCTCAGTCAGGAAATGCAAGACTCAGTTATCCGATCTAAATGGTTGGCTCAAACACATTCTTAAATTCATAATTTAAACTAAACTGCTATGCATAAACTCACCGGACACAAAATTAGTCACCACCTGTGATTGAAACATACCTATGTAAAGGTCCAGCCTGTGAAGGAACTCCAATTCCCAGAAGCCCTCTGGCTGATTAGGCCCAACCTGACACACCTGTGGACTCCTCTACTTAAGGCTGTGGCAAACAGCAGCCCTTCATCACACCTTTGTAGAGGGGTGACTAGTATGGTACGCAGCACAGGTGGGTATTTAAACAAAAAGATAAGAAAAGAAAATGACAAGAAAAGAAAAAAGAAAAGAAAAGAGGATTGAAAAAAAAACAAACAAAAAAAAAACAAAAGAGAGTAATTGCCCCAAAACTACTAAAAAAAACCCACAAGAAGGCTTGAGCAACAAACTGTCTACAAGCCATGCTAAAGGTGTTTGCTCCACTAAGAGCAAACAAGTGAAACATGAAGTCATGTACTCGCTAGCGTTTTTGAGTTCTGCTCAAAATGAGCTAAAACTTTAACTACAGAATCATTTGGTAAAACTCCATCTTCAGGAGTTTGCTCAAAACAGGAGTGAACAGAAGTGCCAACTTCATTTTATGAAAGAGTGTTTTAATGCCTCTACACTGACGTGCCAGACGTCATGGGATAGCAGTATGTAAATTGACTATGAAGTGCCTTTACCTCTGGGGACGGCTTGAGAACGTCCACACCTGTTTAAGTTGTGAGGTGTTGGGTGTGAGGTTGTACACTGGCCTGCATCCTTGAGGCGACATGAATTATCAGAGTTTGAACAAGGCATGACAGTGGGTGCCAGACGGATGGGACAATCCATTTCCAAAGTTTTGTGGGGATTAAACGTTTCTCCACAGCATCACATGTGAACCGGGAATACATCATAGAAGGCATTACCACCCACAGTGGACAGTCCAGTGGCCGCCCATGGGTGCTGTGACCGGCGGTGTCTGGCTAGAATTGTCTGTGTGAACAGACAAGCGACTCTGGCAGAAAAAACATCCACATTCACTGCAGGAGGCCCCACACGCACATCCCACAGGGCAGTGCAGCTTCTTTAGCTTCTATGGGATCTGGGAGCAGAAGACCCTCCAGAGAGCCTCTGTCAACACCACCACACCGGACACAAGGCCTCACCTGGACTCGTGAGGTTGCTAACTGGACCTTAGAGGACTGGCAACATGTGGCGTGGTCCTATGAGTCACAGCACCAATTATTTTGGGCTGATGGTGGGGTTCATGTATGGCCATGAAGCCATGGACCCCAGTTGTCAACAAGGCACTGTGCAGGCTGGTGGTGGTTCCATACTGGTGTGGGGTGTGTTCTCATGGCATGGGTTAGGTCCACTGGTCCCCCTGAACACGTCACTGGTGACCATTTGCAACCCTTCATGGACTTTAGGTACCCCCACAATGATGGGATATTCAGAATTGGTGGAGCCTTTTGGAGAGTTCAGTTGAATGGTGTGGCCGGCACGTTCACCCCAATCGAGCATTTATAGGATGTGGTGGAGACGTCAACTCACACCAGAGATCCTGCACCTACAAACACCACAGTGCTGTGGGTGGCTGTCCAGACGGCTCAACATCCCTCCACACGTCTTCTGTCCACTTCTGGAATCGATGCCACATTGAGTTTCTACACGTCGCTGGGCTAGAGGGGGTCCTGCACGATTCCTGTCCCAGCCTTTTGGCATGTCAGTGTAAAAGTTTGACATCACAAAGTAAAGAATTTTTATTGCTAAAAGTCAGTTTGATGGAAACAAGCTGCTGGGCAGGAATCACTTGCAATTTGTGCGGAAAATCTGTGGAAAGTTAGCTACTAATTCATTGGGATTTTTCAATTGTTCACTTTTCGAAAATTTGCTTAAAACTTGAGAAATGTTTCGGTGAAAACACCCCTAGTGTGGTAATATTTCATTCTTACATACAGATTGATTAAATGATATCTTTTAGTAAAATACTTAAATGAAATGACTTTTACCTTTAACTTGAAGATCAACTTCCACTGCTCTCTCTTGGCTTCCAGACTTAACAGTGCATTTGAATTTTCCATTGTCAGCACCTTTGACCTGAGCCAGGCTGAGAGAGGTGTCGCCTTTCTGGAGCGCACCTTTATGAAGAGCTGTTCTGTTCTTGTAGGACCCGGACTGCTGGGTGACATCATCCTTTTTATTTTCATACAGATGCACTTTTGTGTCGGATTTGGTCCACGTAACTTTCATATCCTCAGCGTTCATGCTGGCTTCATCGTCCTCACGCTGCACGTAACATGGCAGAGTGACATTATAACCAAGTGGAATTGAAACAGGACTGCCTGGACTGACCACCTTAAACTTCTCTGTGAAAGAGAAACAGAGCATTCAATAAACCACAGACAATCTACTGAGTCACGCACATCAGTGTATAACTCTTACAGATTTATTAAAATAGTAACTGTTGTTTTAAAAAGATCTGACACTGACAGACTCTTACCTTTAACTTCAACAGAGACGTGTTTTTTCTTTCCTCTGATCTCAACAGTGCATTTGTAAGTTCCCATATCAGAAGCTTTGACTTTCCTCAGGGTCAGTGAGGCGTCGCCTCTCTGGAGCGCCTGTTTATCAAGACTTGTCCTGTTCTTGTAAGACCCAGACTGCTGGGTGATATCATCATTCTTATTTTCATAGACGTGCACTTTTTCTTCGTCTTTGGTCCACATGACTTTCATATCCTCAGCATTCATGCTGGTGTCACCACTCACACACTTGACTGAACACGACAAACTGAGGTCAGGACCAACTGCAGCTAAAACAGGACTGCTCTGACCCACCACCTTAAAGTCCTCTGGAAACATAGAGAAACAGAGCATTTAATAAACCAGACTACAGATAATCTACTTAATCACACTTCGTACCAGGGACGGATTAATAAAACATGGGCCCCTGGGCATGAACCAACACAGGGCCCCCCTCCTGCTACACACACCAACAAACGCAGCCCACCTTGTCCCTCACCCCCCATGACCAAATGCAAGGAGCCCTGAACACGCCATTATTTCGTTGTTTTTTACTTCCTGCTTATAGCACAAAGATAGGGGCTTTTATTTTGATATAAACCCTGGTTTGGGACAGGTGGCAGCCAGTTTGAGGAAGTACTCAGGTTGGGAAAAGCAGAGCACTTGTAGAGAGGAGAAGTCCGGAGAGGCCATGAGGTAGTTAAAATTTTCTGGATTGTTATTTTGAAATAACAAATGAATTATCTTGCTATCTCAATATAACAAAATCGTTATCTTGAAATAACAAGCTACTTATATTGTTATCTTAAGATAACAATCCAGAAAATTATAGCAACATCTCATGGCCTCTCCGGACTTCCATAGAATTTCCACTCTGTCTTCCGGGTTTCTCTAACACTAGGGGGCGCTCCTGAGTGAGTCCAAAATGAATGGGTTGATATGGAGCATTTGTGCAAAATCAGTTTATAAATGCTTAAACATGTTTAATATAAAAGAATTCATTCATTTCCTGAACACAGAACAGCATAAAACATTTTAACACTGCTGTTATATTTTAAGAGATTATAAACTCGAGTTATAGGAGTTTAAAACGGCGCCTCATGTACGTTCATGACGTCGGTGACCGTGAACAGCCAATGAGCTGGAGGAGGACTCGCGAGCGAGCGCCTTCTGGTGTTTTGCAGTCAGAAAACTGTGACTCTGTGCTGCAACAAAGTCACGCAGTGATTCGAGTAAGTATTATGTTCCAAATAACACTCAAAGGGTCATTTTCGAACTCCTTTAGTTTAGTCTGGAGGGCTCCTGCCTGCTTTTGTGTATCCAGTTTCTCTCTGGGATCCTCTTCAGTGTGCCCAGAGGCCATGACCACCAGGGGGCCCTCGACCAGCACTGATTTACACTTGCCAATGTGTTATGATCACCACTGAGCTGGATTTATCTCACTTAACACAAACTATCAACACGTCGAGTTAAGAGACATGAGCCAATGAATTAACTGTCATAGGATCTTAAATACACTGCGAAATGTTACTGGTGTAGAAGCCTAAATGTGCAACCAATGAGCATTCGGCTACGTCTGAACTGGTTTTGACCACGAAGCGCTTAATTTTTCAAAGTTATCAAACTGTGACACTATACTGCAACAAAGTCATGCAGTGATTCAAGCAATCCAAATATTAGTCTCGTTTAGTTTAGTCCGGAGGGCTCCTGCCTCCTCTCGGGTGTCCAGTTTCTCATTGGGATCCTCTTCAGTGTCTTAGTTTAGTGTAGTTCTGGTAAAGCGCTGCGGTGGAATCAGTCTGGCTGCTCTAACAGGAGTCAAGAGTGATTTTAGTGTTAACCCTATTTTTATATTAGTATTTCTAAAGACCCTGTCCAGCCTGTCCAGTGCGCTAATGCGTTTTTCCCTAATTTTCTTCCATATTTAGTCGTCTCCAGTTCACCCAATCACACGATACTATCAGTGCTAGGAGGGCGAAGGCTAACACAGGCTTCCTCCGAAACCTGTGAAACAGCACCGCACCTTTTCGAACTTACGCTCATGCAACGTCACTGGGCAGCCGAACGCGCTCGGAGGAAAGCGCCAACCACCAGATCTGTTACGTCAGCTAACAGACGCCTGCGCTGACTAGCATCGCGCTGAGTTATGGGGGGAGACCTACCCACCCAGAGAGAGCGAGGCCAATTGTGCTCTCTTGGGCTCCCGGCTACGGACGGCTGAAGCATCACCAGGGATCGAACTCGCGATCTCCTGATGATACGGCCAACGCTTAGACGGTTGCGCCACTCGCGAGCCCCAGAACCAGCCCCTTCTGGCTGTGAGGTGACAACACTACCCACTGCGCAACCGTGCGCCCCATAGCAACCACATGTTCGGCTAAACGCTCTCCAGTGTGACTCCTAATCGGCTCAAATCCAGTAGAACGTTCAACTGCATCTCCTTCTTTGTTTACAGACTTAAAGATGGAGGTCTGGGGTCGAGTCTACAGTGACTGAACAACTCTTTGCCTTTCTCAGTTCATCTGCAGACACTGGCCTGGTTTTTCACCCATTCAGTGAACTCTTCAGATCTCCTCCCGAGACCCAGACAAATTAAAGACAGAGAATTTGAGTAATTTGAAGATAAAATTATTTATATATATGATTATATATATGATTACTTTGGGCAGTACATTGATAATCATATATATATGATTATCAATGTACTGCCCAAAGTAATTCCAGGGCGTCCAGTCAGTTCGGCTTTGGGCGTCATTTAGCAGCAAACTGTTCCAAATTAAGGATGAATTATAGGTATAAATGAAGGGGAAATAGAATGAATTTATTTTTAATGTTTTTATTTTTAAATGTACGACTGTGTAAAAGGAGATTTTCCTAAAAAATAGAAAATAAAGCTCAGATCCTGAGCTTAAATGCCTGCATACACTTATTCCAGTTGTCCAATTAGCAATAAGAGTAAAACTTAAAAAAATGCAATAATGAGTGAGAAACTGACTTCAGCCTCGTGATTTTCTAGTGTTTTAGTTTCTTGCTGCAGATTAAACGTATCAGGAAACCAGCTGGAGTGACTATAAACGTAAATAAGTCCATTCGTCTCTAAATTATCAATGTTCATCTTAAATCTCTCTCTTTGCCGTTTCGTTAGCTACTAGCTAGGCGAGACTGTTGTCTGTGTTGCTATGGTGACCAGCAGTCTGCGCTGATCTTCAGGGTTAAAGGGTGAATCAGCAGTTCTACATTAACTCCAGAGTTTAAGACCATTTATTGTTAAACTGTGTTGAACGATCAGCAGAGCTTTATTTTACTGTAAAGGAGGATTATTTTATTTTTACCTACTAATCTGATTCAGCTGTGGAGCCACAACAGGGCAGTAGAAGAGCCGCGTGATGCCGACCGCTGGTCTATGGTTATCCAGGATTTTCTTTTTTTAATAACTGACAGTCCAAATTAAACGATTTATGGTCAAAACCAGTTCAGACCTAACCGAATGCCCACTGGTTGCAAACTTAGGCTTCTACTGCAGTAACAGTTCACAGTGTATTTAAGACTCTATGACAGTTCATTCATTGGCTCGTGTCTCTTAACTCAATGTGTTGATAGGTGATGTGTGTTAAGTAGAATAAATCCAGCACAGTGGCGATCAGTACATACTGGCTAGTGTAAATCTGTGCTGGTTGAGGGCCCCCTGGTGGTCATGGGCCCAGGCACGTGCCCAGTAGGCCTGCTGAGTAATCCGTCCCTGACTCGTACATACAGGTAAGTATTATTTTAAAGAACCTCTGAAACTGACAGACTGTTACCTTTAACTTCAACAGAGACGTATTTTTTCTTGCCTCCAGACTCAACAGTGCATTTGTAAGTTCCCATATCAGAAGCTTTGACTTCCCTCAGTGTCAGAGAGGCGTCCCCTGTCTTGAGCGCCTGTTTATCAAGAGTTGTCCTGGACCTGTAAGACCCAGACTGCTGGGTGACATCATCTTTCTTCTTTTCATAGACGTGCACTTTTTCTTCGTCTTTGGTCCACCTGACTGTCATATTCTCAGCATTTCAAGCTTTTCCCATCAGTCTGGCGAACAGAGCACGACAGACTGACATCACAACCAACTGAAGCTATAGCAGCCCTGACTGGACCCACCACATCAAAGTCGACTGGAAAAAAGAGAAACAGAGCTTTTCATAAACCACAGATAATCTACTCAATCCCATAATCTACTCAATCCCATAATCTACTCAATCACACACACACCACAGATAATCTACTCAATCACACACACACCACAGATAATCTACTCAATAACACACACACCACAGATAATCTACTCAATCCCACACCACAGATAATCTACTCAATCACACACACACCACAGATAATCTACTCAATCACACACACCACAGATAATCTACTCAATCCCACACCACAAATAATCTACTCAATAACACACACCACAGATAATCTACTCAATCCCACACCACAGATAATCTACTCAATAACACACACCACAGATAATCTACTCAATCCCACACCACAGATAATCTACTCAATCACACACACCACAGATAATCTACTCAATCACACACACACCACAGATAATCTACTCAATAACACACACTGCAGATAATCTACTCAATCACACACACACCACAGATAATCTACTCAACAACACACACCGCAGATAATCTACTCAATCACACACACCACAGATAATCTACTCAATCACACACACACCACAGATAATCTACTCAATAACACACACACCACAGATAATCTACTCAATAACACACCACAGATAATCTACTCAATAACACACACCACAGATAATCTACTCAATAACACACACCACAGATAATCTACTCAATAACACACACCACAGATAATCTACTCATTATTCAAAGTATGTTATTCCTCTAATCTGTGTGGGACTGTAGGCTGTACGTATTTAGGAGTTCAGTCCTTTAATAGAGTTACTGTACCTGAAAGAGCGCAGTGGAGGAACAGCATCATCACCCAAACACACTTCATTTCTGAAACACAGATGACACCAGTTCACTCAGCAGAACCAGAACAACACAAAATTATTGCTTTATTACTTTTAATCGTTTTCTGACCAAAAACCAAAACCATAATAAACACACCCTGCTTAAGAACATGAGCAGCTCAGCAGACGGCTAACAGGCTAACGGGCTCCTCCTGTAACGTCCAGTCTTTAGGCTAATCTATTTACTAAAGGACTAAGGTATAAGATGAACACCCATAAGCGCTAAACTGTAGCGTCCTGTCCTGCTCAGTCCTCGTCCTCCTCTGTCTCCCCCTTGGTTGTATCCCAGTGCCTTGTGTTTTTGTTTATGTCTGTCTTGTGCTTTTGTTGTTGTTTTGGTCCCTGGTCCTGCCCACTTGTCACCTGCTCCACCTGCCTGTAGTCTGTAGCCCCGCCCCTTATCAGTCCCAGGTGTTTCTTCTTCCCCCTCCGTGTATTTATACCCCTGTGTTGCTCAGTTCGTCTCCTCCTTTTCTCACTGATGTCCAGACCAGGTCAGAACACAGGAGCCTGGCTGGGTGGTGTCTGTTACTGTGGATTCACTTTGCTGCCTAATGATATTACAGGAGGCCCCGTGGTGGCTTTGAGGGCCCTTAGCAGCCATTCAGCACTCTTTCCAGCCCTGAGTATGAGCGGTTGCTAAGGGCGATACTTTTATTCGTACTTATATCGCTGCAGTAACGATACAGTACTGTATCTACAGTGATGATTTACCTGATTATGAATAACAGTGAAACCTGGTAAAGTGCTCTTCCTGAAGGAAACGCAGGGTGATTACTCAGCTTAAGCTTTCCTGCACCCTGACTGGGGTGTGGTGATGATGTCAGAGCCGTGTCCACGAATCTCTGCTATAAGAAGTGCTCACGTTTTTACACCAGCAGAAAAACTGTGAAAAACAGCCAGGATAGCAGACAGCTCACTTCTCTCTCTCCCTCTCTTACTCTATCTCTCTCATACCACACCCTCTCCCTCTTCCTCTCTCTCTCTCTCCCTCTCTCTCTTTCTTTCTCTCTCTTTCTCTTTCTCTCTCTCTCTTTCTCTCTCTCCCTCTCGCTTTCTCTCTCTCTCTCTCTCCCCCCCTTTTCTTTCTCTCTCTCTCTCTCTCTCTCTCTCCCTTTCTTTCTTTCTCTCTCTCTCTCCCCCTTTTCTTTCTCTCTCTCTCTCTCTCTCTCTCTCTCTCTCTCTCTCCCTTTCTTTCTTTCTCTCTGTCTCTCTCTGCCTGTCTCTCTCTCTCTCCCCTTCTTTCTTTCTCTCTCTCTCTCTCTCTCTCTCTCTCCCTTTCTTTCTTTCTTTCTCTGTCTCTCTCTGCCTGTCTCGCTCTCTCCCCTTCTTTCTTTTTCTCTCTCTCTCTCTCTCTCTCCCCTTCTTTCTTTCTCTCTGTCTCTCTCTCTCTCTCCCCCTCTTTCTCTCTCTGTCTCTCTCATACCCCACTCTGTCACTCTATCGAGCTGTGCACAATCAAACACAATCAAATGAAAACTCGAACTGTCCATAAACACATATAGTGATGTCCTAAACCAGACAGGTTAATGGTCTGAGGCTTTATTTGTGTGCGCTTTGATGTTCTTAATCTTTTCCAGATGAGCTTAATAAGCTGAAAGCTGAGTTATTTTTTACATTTTCACTTTCTATGTCACACTAATGTCTTATAAAGGCTTTATATCTTATTCTCTTTAGTTACTAAGTTATAAAGGTTTGTGAAATACTTTTTTCAAAAAAATGAGTTAATACATTTCAGAAAAGTGTTATTATTTTAAAACAATGTCATCATTTCAGCATAGTAAGACACATTTTCAAGAAATGAAATAATCATTACAACATAGTAAGTCAATATTTAGAGAGAATATGAGTATGTTGAGATTATCAGTCATTATTTTGAGACACTCTAAATTGTGTTAAACTGCTGCCAGTAACAAAAAAACAAGGCCAAACTTTTTTATCCTCTGTCTGATAAGAACAGCCTTAGAGAACACGCTACCTTTCATTACGGCAATACAGTAATAATCAGATCACTGGTACCTCAGACTGTTTATAAACCCTAAATCAGCATCACATGGTTTTATTTTATAATAAAAACAGCTTCATTAAGAGGAGCGAACTCACCGGACGTTGGTCAGACGGTGGACGGTTGTCTGAGTCTGCGGTAATAAAGCCTTATTAATTAGCTGGAGATCCAGATGATGAGCCGGTCAGAGCTGCTGCATCCCCCCTTTATAAGCGACGCTCGGGGGGCCGTCAGGTTTGGTTTTTGCGTAACGCTGTTTCGGTTGGTTTAAGCTGAAGTGTGAAGGAGCTCTTACACTTACTGTGAAGCCACACCCAGAAATCCTGCTGACCAGCATCAGCTCTTCAGCTGCTGACTGCAGTTTAACTGGACGGTCGTGGTTCTGTACAGTAGCCTAAGGATGCTGGTGTAATAAACTTCTTTATCTGTTCAATAAGCATGATCCATCTCATATATCATCATCTACCTCATATAGCATAATTACCTCATAATCTATCCCATATATCATCATCTACCTCATATAGCATAATTATCTCATATACCATAATCTATCTCATATATCATCATCTATCTCATATACCATAATCTATCTCATATATCATAAACTATCTCATAATCTATCTCATATATCATCATCTATCTCATATATCATAATCTATCTCATAATCTATCATATATCATAATTATCTCATATGTCATAATTTATCTCATATATCATAATTATCTCATATAGCATCATCTATCTCATATAGCATAATTATCTCATATACCATAATCTATCTCATATATCATAATCTATCTCATAATCTATTTCATATATCATCATCTATCTCATATATCATAATCTATCTCATAATCTATCATATATCATAATTATCTCATATATCATAATTTATCTCATATATCATAATTATCTCATATAGCATCATCTATCTCATATATCATAATCTATCTCATATACCCTGGAAAAAGTGTTGAATTTAATTGTTTAATGTACAGAATTTCCAAGATTTAGTTTAGCTGGTTCAGTATCTCCAACAATAACAGCTAAAAACTGAATTTTCTCCATAATTTTGTCAGTTTTCATAGATAACAGTGAGTCATACAGTGTCAGGAACCACATAATCAAGTCTATCAGTGATACTGACTCCACACACTCAGTCCACTGTGTGATGAATCAGGCCTGCAGTTAGCTCCATGCTAATTGGTGGATATCTTCCATACATTAGCCTCATAGCTGCAGTGCTAAAACTAAAGAAGACACAGATATGTGTGGGCTGATGGACTAGGTTTCGGACAAGAGAAGAACTGGACATTAGGCTTTTGTCATTTACACAGAATTAAATGTGTATATTGTGCACAAGGCAGTGTGTATGTGTACATAAACAGACGGGGGATGAATTACTGATAAAAACATAAGTGTCCTGGTAACCATCAGCCACCTGATCACCCTCAGTCCACCTCAGCACACGACTCTTTCACTTCAACAGGGAGTACTGTTCAGCTGTTGAACCATTAGAGTCCTTTACACTGTGATATCAACCAATCAGGAAAACACAGAATACCACTAGTGACTACTGGACCAGCTGGAACCAATAGAAACTTGTAATGGTTTTTTTAGTAGCAGGTTCAGGGTTTCTTGATCTTGACCGATTGATTACAAACATCAAAAGCAGTTCAGCATCCCAGTAATGAAGTCTATTTATTCCCATGTTTCTGCTGAGTTAGGATGTTGTTTCACAAATACAGACTGTTTACATGTGGCAGGAAGTTCTATTTCTCTAGTAGCCTCTCAAAGCATCCTGGGATATAAGGTGGGTTCTGCAGTAGAACACAGAGGGAGTGTGTTATCACGAAATAACATCACGGCTGTGATTTGGTCGCCGTAGATCATCACAGCCGTGATGTTATTGGCGATAACACACTCCTCGAGTGTTCTACTGCTTTAATACAACAGCTAAATAAATAAAGTAATAAATTAATAAACTGGGCCGTGAACGCGGCGTTTAATATGTTTTAATGTTCGCAGTTCCTTCACCAAATTATAGTTCCTTAACGAGCAGCTTGTTGCTACATCAGAGTAACGAGCTCCGCCCACTCGCTGCACAGCCGGCAGTTCGTTCTCCAGCTCCTTACACTAAATTCCCAAACTGTCATCACCACTGAGCAGCTTTTTTGTTTTTTATTGGGTCAGTTTTATGGCTCAGTCTGATTTGGTCAGACTCTGAAGATCAGACTACACGTCTGGCGAATGGTATTGGGTTCATTTCTGGCTGATTCCAGGTTGTTTAGCTGTTCTTCTGTCACAGCTGCCGACTGAAAAGCTGCTCAGTGGTGATGACAGTTTGGGAATTTAGTGTCGTCTCATCTTCAGAGTCTGACCAAATCGGCTGTCGGTCAAATGTGATCTTAAAAGTGTCCATTTTCTGTTTGTGGTAAAGTGAGAAGTACAAACTTGTCAAAGTCGTTGCTTAGCAACGGCGTCTCAGCGGAGTGATACAGTGTTTGTGAAAAAAAACGTGATGTTATGGTGAAATAACAGCACAGTTGGAACACCTCTCAACCAATCAGCTCGCACAGCCGGAACTGACTGTTGTATAAACACTGTTATAAGTGTATAATGGAGTACATTCCTGAACACATTTAGATCAGTGTATTCAGTTTTCAGCCGTCACTACTTTTTCAAATTATTGTGCCCAACTCTGTCTGTTGACCACGGGGCAGCACAGTCGTACAGTGGGTAGCGCTGTTGCTTTGGTCACTGTTCTCTCTAATCCTCCCGTCAGTCAGACAGTGGACTGCTGCTTGAGACTGCAGTAATAAATACTTTAAACATGCTGGAGATTCAAATGACCATCAGAGCTGCTGCTGTTCTCTCTTCTGTAAGCGAGACTGACGGACTTCTCTTTTTGTCCAGCGCTGTTACAGTAATTTTAGGCCGAACCGTGAAGCTCAGCGTGAAGCTCAGCGTGAAGCTCAGCGTGAAGCTCAGCGTGAAGCTCAGCGTGAAGCCGCTCCCAAAAATGTTTACTGATCAGCATCAGCCCTTTCTTGGCACAGTGTCCCAGGATAGCTGTGGTTTAGTCAGGCTCGCTGTTCTCAGTGAAAGTGTATTTATTTTCACACTGCTGACGTTCACTGCAGTCACACTGGACATGTGCAGAGTGTGTCACTGTGTAAATGGGAATGACCAGAGCTGGACCATGTGACCACAGATTCAGGAAGAATGTGAGGACAGTGCTGAGCTGACCAGAGCCAAAATGTGATTTCTCTCACCCCAGGTGAAATTATAAAGGTTAGGATGGTATCAGTCTGACGTGTGAAAAAGAAATAAATAGACTTTGGATACTTTAACATACTAACCTACAGCCGTATTAGCCTCAACATGCGGTCATAAACTTAGCTTTTGTGAGTGAGTGTTGGTTCATATGGAGCAGTTTTCATGTGTGGAGCTGTTTTTGTACCACTGGTATTGGGGCATGTTAGGCCAACAGCTCAATGTACCCCAATTACAATAAAGTGTAGATTCACTTCATTCTAATTATGTAAAACTCATCCATGCATGTTGTATTGATAACACAGAACTTATTTCATGCCAAGAAACTACAAATGTAAAACCAAGGTGCAAAACACAGGGTGTGTGGTGGGTCTGGGACCTCCTAATTAAACTGCTGGATCATCTGAAAGTCTTAAAATTACATTTCTGGGGGTCCCTGAAAATAAACGCATGATGTTTTGCTGTCATTGTTTATCTGCTGTAGCAGACTGGTTCACCCAGTTGGTCCTTCATAGTCTAGAAACTGTAACTCTGCCCGGATTCCTCTGAAACACTTTACAATGAGCTGCAGCAGATCTGTAAATCTGAAAACTCGCCCAGTTTCCCAAGAGTTTGGAGTGAAGAGTGACTGTTCCTCATTTCTCACACTGAAGACAGAAGAGGAGACGAGGAAGATCTCAGTTACTGTGAGGAAGAGCGCAGAACCGCACTAGAACAGAGACTCTACAGAAGAGGAGACGAGGAAGATCTCAGTTACTGTGAGGAAGAGCGCAGAACCGCACTAGAACAGAGACTCTACAGAAGAGGAGACGAGGAAGATCTCAGTTAATGTGAGGAAGAGCGCAGAACCGCACTAGAATAGAGACTCTACAGAAGAGGAGACGAGGAAGATCTCAGTTACTGTGAGGAAGAGCGCAGAACCGCACTAGAACAGAGACTCTACAGAAGAGGAGACGAGGAAGATCTCAGTTACTGTGAGGAAGAGCGCAGAACCGCACTAGAACAGAGACTCTACAGACTAAGAGGATTCCAACCACAGAGTGAAGATGTTGCAGTGAATTTGTGAAACAAATGGTTGTTACAGTGTTGAAATGTTGAATGTGGTACGATGTTGAAATAAACTGTTCTAATAAAAGGTTAGAAGTCATCTTATTATGTTCTTTATGTAGGAATGTTATTTAAGTGTGATACATTTGACCCCCATCAGGCTCAACTTTCTTACTTCCTGTTCTCCAATTATCCATTTCTGATGGGTCATACCTCTAAAACCTGTAATAGCTAAACATGTTTTAATTTCTATGGATGCACAACAACCCTAAATACACATCAACTATCCTATGGAATAAATGCACTCTTTCTGTGAAGTCATGACTCACAAGTAGTGGCTGATTATAACCTGTTCTCCCCTGTAGTGCTGCATGGTTGGTGGTAGTGGGATTACTGCTATGTGCAGCAGCACTTACCAAGCAGCAAACCTAGCAAGCTGACTAACCTGCCTATCATAAAATCACAAAAGTATAGCTCTGCTACTGTTGTGACCCAGTCTAGTGTTGAGCCGTAACAGAAATGGTAAATGATGGATAACTTTGTGTGTAACAGCTACAGCTTACAGTGTGTGAAAATGGGCGATGTCATGATGTAATGATGTCAGGTTGGCCAGTGCAGAAAATAATAAACAAAACCCCGAGCCAGCTTTATTTCACATTCTAACTTACCTAATAAAAAATAAAATAAAATAAAAGACAGTCCGCTTACCTAAACTGCCCAACCACAAAAAACACATACAAACCACACATATATATATATATATGTACTCTGAAATACTTTTGTGCATAGTCTTTATATATATATATATATATATGTATACATACATAAATATATACCGATCAGGCATAACATTCTGACCACCTCCTTGTTTCTACGCTCATTGTCCATTTTATCAGCTCCACTTACTATATAGGTGCA